CCGTTCGACTGAGGGTATATCTCGAATGGGTAGTCTTTCTGTGTGTGTATTTATTATTCCTTAATATCTCTGCGGTGTGGTATCCCAGCATCGCCTGCACGTGTGAACTTGAAGCTTGCTGTACAGATAAAGCTCTTTCAGCAAAAAAAAACAGGTTTCTGTGTTTCTAGAAATATTAAGGAATAATAAATACACACAAAGAAAGACGACCCATTCGAGATATACCCACAGTCGAACGGGATGTGGTGGAGTCTTTTCAGTAGAGTGGAGGAAAACCGGCTGGGTACTGGACTTTCGAGTATTTTTTAAGTCTTCTTGTTGTTGTTGTTGTTGTTGTCTTCACATTAAAAACCGTTCCGATCTCTCTCTACCCAGTACCTTCGTATGTCCGTACTGATCCAACACTCGACGCGGTCGATTCCCGTGGTCAGAGGTTAGCTTACCCTAAAAAGGTACACTCAAATAAACTGGCCCCGAGGGGTCCGCAAGTCAATAGAAATCAACGACAGATATTCTGGGATCCTCCGCTCCCTCTTCACGCTATGCGGGGTATCAACTGAGATTAGCAGTCACTATCTATCATGGGCCGGAGAGAAAGAGGTACACTCCCTTGGTTCAATCTTGGTACTTCACAACGCAAGCAGAGACAAGTCCATCTGGCACAGAAAAAGAGAGAAAAAAAAGAGAGAAAAAAAAGGACAAAGAGAAAAAAAAGGCTATACACTGATGATGATTTATACCAGTGATTGATGCCAGCTGGTGCTAAGTACAAAAACATCTGTATTGTAGAATGTAACCTTCACAGGGGACACGGCGCAGTGTCTATTGACAGCTTGCTGGTTTGGTTAAATATTAGGAATAATATTGTAAAAATCACGGAAGATGGAGCGAAGTCTACAGCATCACTCGTTTTTTTAAATCTACAATTTTTTTAATTCCATGGACAGCAGGTGTGTTTCCCGCCGTTTTTTGAATTTTCAAAACGTATTTGATCCTTATGCTTTTCTACCCCCCCCCCCCCCCCCCCAGCTTCCTCCAGGGAGTTACCCAGTGGTTACAACTGTCTCTGGAAGTGAAAGCACAAGAAAATAAATTAAGTCATACGTAACTGTCATCCGTACGCAAGGAAGTAAGCACAAGATGCCCAACACCCTTAACAGGATGCAGCTCACCCTTCATGCGACTCGCCAAATACCTCACGGCGCTTCCCGCTTGGTGATGTGAGAGCCTGGTCCGGTGAGAACCCGGCGTGCTCCGTCCCGGCTTTGTAGGGATGCGAGGTCAATGGTCTAACGACTACGGCATGCACGACTATGAGTACACCCCCCCCCTCCTTCCCTCTCCGAAGCGGAGAGCAAGACTAACCCACAGAGCCCACCCGGTACCGACACGAGGACACGCGAAAGCTACGGTTAGGACAACCATACACAGGAGCTTGACAGGGTGCCGGGGACGGTGAAAGGCAGCAAGAGGTGTGTATATGCTTATACGCGGCGAGAAGGTTGTTGTATTTTTCGATAAACCTTACCTCCCAGACGAGGAGCCCCGCCGTGTGCATAGCCCTGCACCACCAGCACCGAGCTGGTTTCTGCACGCCGACTAGCCCTAGCGCAGGAGGGGGCAGCCGTTGTTGACTGCTTTGAGCCTCCTCCTGCCGGACTGCTCTATGTATGCCCCGCCGTTTGGTACTATGGAGTGTACGTACCTATGGAACGTCGCAGGATGGACGCTACAGCAGCACACGGCACGTCCCAATACCCTGCTCTGCCAGGCCTTTATGCAGATTAACCCCGTAACATACATGAGATACACGACAGAAAGACCCGCTGTACGTGATCAGGACCAACAGCAATTGGTAGACATAGAGCGGGAAACGCTTATGCGTCCTTTCGATTCGCTCGGTACCGCCGCATGCAATGTGCCTACGTCCCCCACGCTATGTATGACGCAATATACGCCTCACCCTTTCCAGCGGTACACGTGTACACGTACAACAGCAGCAACAGCAGCAGCCCTCTCTCGCGGAATACAGCTACACTAGCGCGCGCACCCTATGGGCATATGCCAAGAAGGGGCACTGCTTTACACGGAGCACTGCTGTACTATTCTGGATATCCCAACGTTTTGTAACGCTGAACTGCTGTGTACTCTGTGGTACTAACAGTCGTACTTCCACGAACTGCCGCCACCAGGACTTTCTCTGGTCAGCAACTGCCTGTTGGTACCAACTGCAGTATGTAGTCGGCACCGCATGTCTGAGCACAGCACATCTACACTACAATTAACGTCAGGCTCGCGGCGAGCCAAAATATAGGTATGTAGAATGTGTTCACGTAATCGGCAGCTTATTGCGCTGACGTAAATGACGCTGGTGCGCACCTCTGACAAGATATCTCGACAAACCGCTCTGAGGAACACCAGGGAAGTTGACAACAACCACCACAGATTGGATGTAAATCATTTGAAAACTTTCCATGCTCTACTGATGGTGTTTACCAACACCCAACTTAACAAGAAACAAGGTAACATGATACAACCTGAATGCTATGCCCTACCTACCATGCACCAGGTATACCATTCTCATCTACTGCTGTATAAACATAAATGATACGTTATTACCCCAAAGGATCAAATACGATTTGTAAATTCAAAAAAACGGCGGGAAACACCTGCTGTTCGTGAAATTCAAAAATCTGTAGATTTGAAAAACGAGTGATGTACTGCTGTAGACTTCGTTCCACCTTCCATGATTTTTACAACATTATTTCCTAATATGTCTAATAAACCAGCAAGTTGTCAATAGACACTGCGCCGTGTCCCCTGTGAAGGTTACATTTTACAATACACGACAC